TTCTCTCACATGAATGAATGAACACCTGAGAGTTCACCTAATTCACACATTCAGCTCACAGGAAACAACCAAAGCACCGCATCAGCAGACTTCCCAGGATGCACTGCGAGATGATCAGAGTGGTTGTTTCTTCTCAGATCAGTGAGAACAACCTTGATGGTTAGTTCTGAGTCTTCCTCCACCCCGACTGTAGCAGGAAAGCAGTCTGTGTGTGACGTGACTGATGCAGCTTCATACATTTAGTTTGTTCATTTAACTCTGACAATTAAAGACCTAATGAACCAGTTACTCAAACGACATGCAGCAGACTCACATGTTTAAGGAAGCAGGGTCGCTTTCACAAACCTCACTGATGTTTATACAGCAGCGGCTCTGAAGGATCACAACAGGTCAGATATGAACAAGTCTCACTGTTAGAAACACACATAAGTGTTAAAACCAGACGCAGATCAGGACAAAGGAGCTGCTGCCACACGGTTTGAGGAGCAGCAGGTCGTGAAGCTGCTGTGATGTGTGGATCTGTGTTGGAGCTTGTATTTAATGTCTGCTTACTAAGAGCTCCCACAGACCAACACTTTCCAGCACATCGTATAGTTGAACCAGGCTGCTGTGTGACTCACAGCTTTATTTGCAGTGAGCACCAGAGGCCTGGTGGTGTGATCCAACCACACCTTCTCCCAGTGCTGCTCTGGTATTTACCGTCTGTTGCATAAGAACGCAGTGCTCACAATAAGAAGATCAGGAGTGTGAACATCAGATTATCAATAAATAATAAATATCTCACCCGACAGTCTCCTTTAATTATGTTGGTTCTGGCAAAGAAACGTCTGTCTTCAGCATTAAATCATTACACCACAAAGCTATCACTGAGAGCTGTCATTCACGAAAACCAGGCAGGAGAACATAGAACATGAGACTGGGATGCTTTGTTCAGATCGGTCCGTGTCCTCTGGCGCCGTAGCGGGAAAACAGCGAGGCCGCTCGCGTGCAAACGTAACTCCCAGACTCACCACACAAGGCAGGGAGTGTTAGCTGGCAAGTGCTGCAGGAATGCTATTGTTCAGCAGACCATAAAACGCCTGTTTGATACGACACACTTCATTTTTCTTCTCCAGAGCGGCGCTGCGGGATTCTTCTGAACCACCGGTTTGCATGAATCACAGAATATGAGGTTTTTTCTTTTTTAACTCCAGATCAACGATTGTGCAACAGCTTCGTTCAGTTTGTTGTTTGATTGCATTGGTTGAAATCTTACTTCACATAATTGTTTGTAAAAGTGTGCGATCACTCCCAGACACACAGGAATCCTCTTTAAAGGCTTTAAGCTGCTCTGTGTGACTGACACAACATCGTTGTTGTTTTTGGTTTGCCTCCCAAAAACGAAAAGGAAACCAGACTCTTCACATCTGTAACGCCGTCACAGGTTCTGATTTATCAGAGAGAGATTCAGAGGACGTGTTTTAAACACTCGTCTGTGAGCCGACACAGGCTCCAGCCCTCCTGCTGTCTTTGTCCTTGTAAGGAGACTCCCAGTGTGTCTGGTTTGGACTCAGTCACGCCAAAGGTACCGAAGCGCCAGAAGCCCGAGCCGTGACAGAGAGGCCAGACAGAATGCTGTTGCTATGCTGTGTTTGGATTACACATTTTATTTCTGGATGCCTAAAATTCGCCGGTGGTTTTCCGTTGGACTTTTATGGATTGCTGATTTGTAACTGCTCCAGCAATGTGGAAGCAGGCGCTGCCTCAATGCCTCCGTTCCCGCTGATAGATGACATGAATAGCCTTGACATGCTGTTGACAGAGAGCGGCTTTCCCTCTGTCAGCAGGTCCATTTAATCATGTTGTCCAGTTATCACCCACAGCCTGAAACAAAGGCTTGTGGTGGACGTCCATGAAGTGGCAGCACTAGTGATGCAGATGCTGTGACGATGACTTTGTGTCTGCAGAGGCTGAGATGCAGCCGTGAACTCCGGTGACCTGAGCCAGAGTCCTGCAGCAGAGTGTTGTGGACACAGTAAAGCACCACCGCCAGCATTTTTAGAACCAAGGCTTCAATCACAAAGCGAGCTGGCACGCCCTGCCAAGGAATACTTCTCTCTAATTAGACAGTCCACATTCAGTGGGTCCTGAATGGAAACAAGGCTGAGTTCTGTTGGAAGACGTGAATGTCTGGTGATGCATGTTGCGACTTCTGGCTGTGTTTGTGTCTCTCCATGGTGAAGGCTCTGGAGGAGTCAGGCCGTCATGTGTCAGCTTCCTCCCTCCCACTAAACATATATGGTCAGGCATGCGGTGCTCACACCAGCACATCTTCCCACTGGCTCACCCAGTTTCTCTCTCCCACTCTCATAAACCCCGTCTGTTTTTATCCTCCTCCTCCGTCGCCCTCCATGTGGCCCACGTCGCTCTGTGGTTACTGCCTATTGCTGGATGAGTTTCTGTCCATTCTGAACCTCCGGCTGTCTTTTGGGGAGCATCTGTGACTCAGCACGGCTGCTGTCTGCTATCGCAGGGCGATAAGACGAGTGTACGAGGGAGCAGGAGGCTGAACTCTCAGTGCCATCAGTGTGTGATGCATTCTGCAGGACGATTAAACAACTCCTGATGCTGTTCATTCATTGCTGCCATGATGGCGCAGAACAACTACATGATGTGAGGAAAAGAGAGAGAACGAAGAAGTGTACTGCTGCTCAGAGCCTCCAGCCAATCAGAGGGTCTGGCACTTTATTTTTAGCAGCGCTGGTGGCGTGACTGGATGGATGGGAATGTCATTTGGTGGCTCGGTCGGTCCACTACTTGTGGATCGATTACCATGAACTACTTCACAGACAGTCGTGGTGTGCAGGGGACGCTCCTCTGATCAGGACGTGGACGTTTGTGGATCTGAGTGAAATGCTGCCACTGTTACATTTAGGGTTAGTTAATCTGACTAACTTTTGTGATTTCTCATATTTTAATCTGGTATTTCACTGGTTTATGATGAAATACCAGCAACACAAAGGGCATGAAATGTCTGAGTTAATCCTAATTAGCAAATGTAAGCATGCTAACATGCTATATTAAGATGCTAAACCTGCCACCTGCTGTAATAATGATCATCTTTATTTACATAGTGTTTACCAGAAGAAAATGATTAAAAGGACTAGATAAAAACAAGTGGTTTCCCACTGAACTGCTGTATGTCTACGATTTCTTATTTCTTATTTTCACCTCCACAGCGCCTGTTTTCTGTTTGCATATCATTACAGCTTCACATCCACATTCAGCTCGTACTGAATGAGACACATAGATACTCTTGAATCTTCATAAAAGCAGCCACAGAGCATAAAAACAGAGATGACAAAACAATCAGGTCATAAAACGGAAGGCAAAATCAAAAGGGATCATAAAACACAGCCATATATCCCCTATTCATAGAAGCCCTTTGATGAAGGGATGCTTTAAAAGATGCTGCAGGTCTGACCTCAGTCGGCTCGCGGTGCCAAAGTCTGAATGCTCTCACGTCATAAACTTCGTCACCCTCGTGTGCAAGTTGAGACCCAGGAATCATCAGCCAAGCCCAGTTCAGGGATCTGAGAGAGCAACCCAGCACATATTAAAGCACATATTAAAGGGATTAAAAGGTCTGTGACGTAATTCACAGCAAGTCATTGAGAAGTGATTAATAAAAACTGAACCTCATTGCAGAATTTCAAAGGTAGCTTGTGTAAATGGGAAAGGACCGAGGATCCGCCTTGTGTACAGTAGGAGTCGGTAAAGAGAGCTCTGACTGATGCCGGTATTAAGGCTGTTGCAGAAATGAGCTTTAATTGCAAGCAGGAAGAATATTTGCATGTATAATCTTATGCAAATCAGTGGCAGACGGCAAGGATGTAGTTTTGGCGATTTTCTGTGGATGAAAGAAGCATTATGGAACAAACACTTGAATATCAGGAGACAGATCAGCATCAACAGTATCTGCTTAATATTTTTTATCACCAAGCTTTCTGTGAAACGTGGTCGTGGAGGTGTTGGAACCGATGACTGGAACATCTGGTTTGTCATCATCGATGGCTAACATTTTACATCGTTACGGCACATGTTCGGGCTGCTGGGGATGGCTGGGACAGATAACTGAGTGTCATCTGCATAACAGTGGTGGGAAATACTGTGTTTCTGTATGATCTGGCTGAGAGGAAGCAGGTAAATTGAAAATAGCAGTGGACCAGGACCAGAGCCCTGAGGAACACCACTGTTACATTTTTTCAGTAGAGGAACAGCCATTAGCTCTGGAGAATGTTCTGTTTGTGCAAAACAGAAGCTCACTGAAGATCACCCCGAGTTTCTAGACAGTCAAGGAGACATCAAACCGTTAGCATATTAGCATGCTGATATTAGCGTTTAGCTCAAAGCATTGCTGTAATAAGTGCAGTGGACACTAGCACGCTGTAGACCTTTTATATATGTTTGCAAATCTACTGAACCAATAATGCTAACGACTTGTTCCAGTGTGATTCATCAGTCCGACTGAACACGATGAATAATTCAACGTATTTTATCTCAAAAATTACAAATAAAATGGATTTCACTGATGGCTTCAGTCAGGTTTTAGTAGCTTTAAACTGGACATATTATTTCTGTCAAAGCATCATTAGAGGCTTTCAGTTGCTTTGAACTGTTAACGAGTGAGAAAGTGATTTGTGCAGCGGGGATACCCACCCTGCAGTCGCTCAGCTTCAAACACTGCTCATCATGTGTGCTGTGTTTGCAAAAGGACGAAACTCCGTTGGTTTCTATCGTTTTTATTGAGGCAGTGGGGTTGTAAAGACGCCCATACAAAAGAGGAAGGAGACAAAAGATCGAAATGCAAGGGGGGAATGGGTGTGATCCCACACTGTCAAGGGCGTTTTGTAATCAGAGATGAGAGCATTATCCCCACAAAAGTACCATTACCCTGTGTGGTGGGCCCCAGGGGGCCGAGCCCAGCAGTAACTGACCCACCTCTGTGCTCTGTGTTGCAGATGGGAGGAGGAGCTGTCCAAGCGGCAGCAGCTGGAGTCCACGGTGGAATCCCTGCAGCAGGTTGGGAAACATCAACACTGAAATATGTTCATGCACAGCTATCTGACATCCTGCCAAGAGGCTCTACTCGCAACCTGCAGAGAAAGCAGCATAAATATGAGGACAGTGTGTACGTTTTTGTAACTGCAGTAACTTCACATGCACAAACACGGATCAGCTGACCGGGCGTCTGATGCTGTGTGGACTCAGAGGAGCTGCACGAGAAGCAGCTACCGTCAGGATGTGTTTCAGATTAGAAAAACCATATTACAGATCCATCAAGAGGAGTCTGTTGGCCTGGATATACACATGAACAGCAAGTATGACCAGCAGCCTGCCGTTATGTTCCTGCTCAAAACAGGAAGTAGATGTACAGGAAAAGATCAATGTGAAGCGTCACACCTTAAGGCTGTATCACACCCACAACAGGCCTCGTCTAGCAGGCGTCCTTCCCTTGTTTCTGCTTTTGCGCACATCGATCGGTGACAGCATGTGTGTTTCTCTTAGATTGTGGGTCAGCAGAAAGCCCAGATAGAGCGCTGGACCGTCCCCCTGAGGGCTTTAACCTTTTAGAGCTCCGGGTGGATGTCGCTGTGTGTAGACGAGGCGGAAATCTGCTCATAGATAGTAAATTCAGCGAGAACAGCCATTTATTGTTGAAGGAGCCAGAGGACTGCGACCATGTGCTGATTTAATATAGAAGGAAGAGCGGCGCGGCTCTCGTGACAGATTTAGCAGTCACGAGAAGACGTAGTTCTCATTTTAGCCTCCGTAATATCTGGCCTTTGACTGCTGAGGCCATGTTTACTAGCTGTGGATACGATAGACACTGACTTCACTGGAAATGATCTCTATAGTGTGTTTCTAAGAAGAGATCAACTGGCAGGATGTTCTGAAACACTTCCAGCAGCGCGTTTAAAGTCGGCCTTAAATGAGTAGTTTAAAACTCTGCTTCCCTTTTCTGCTGAGAGTTAAACGAGAACCGTTTTAGGACGCTCACATCAGTGTGACGAGAAATAACTGCAGGTAGAAAACAGTCCAGCAAACCAACACCTGCAGGAATCTGAGCTGGACAGCTTTACTGTTGGCTCTTTATTGAACAGAGGATGTGACTCATTGATCAGGGAGCTTCAGAGAGGTTACAGGCTACCTGCTCCCACTGTTCCCAGTCTGTGTGCTAAGCTAAACTAACCAGCTTCTGGATATAGCTGATGTTTTAAAAACAGGAGAGTAGCATCAGTCCTCTGATGAAACTCATCAGAACATCGTGAATAGATGTATTTTCTAAAATGTTTTTGCTTCCAGCAAAGACGGATCTTTGCACCCTGAAGACATAAAAATCAAACCCAGCAGTGGCTTCTGGGAGACAAACGCTGACCAGTCCTGTACTGCTAAAGAACGTGACCGTGTGAAAGTTGTATTTGCTGGGATCAGGATGTAACCCGGTCCATCTACTCAGTGTGTTACAAGTGTTTGCTGAGCCCTGTTACACAAACTGGTTTCATGACGTTTCAGTCCTCTGACTGTCTGGTTTCATCTCCTCCACTGTGACGTTAACGCAGAGCGCCCGGGAGTCATCGGAGGTCCAGGACGAGCTGAGCGAGAAGGTGGACAGACTGAAGGCCGAGCTCGTCGTCTTCAAGAGCCTGATGAGTGATGTGAGTGTTCGGCGCTGGGTGATGTCACCACCGGTCCTTCAGCCTGACAAACTAACGTGCTGTGTTCACGCCCATCCCTGAAGCAGTTCTGTTAAGCTCTCAACAAAAGAGTTCATAGCTTTGCACAGTTCATGTCCCTGAATGCTGTCATTCATGCAGCTCCATATAACACCACTAAACACACACACCCACCCTCCTTCCTTCCTTCCTTCCTTCCTTCCTTATTTGCGTTGACAAATAATATATAATGCCGTAAAGCCTCCAAGACAAGCGTCCATTGAAAGCAGCTCAGACAGCAGCTGTAGCTCAGCAGCTCTTCCGGCTCCGTGCGGTTCTGTATTGTTCTGCTCGGCTGTGATATATAATATTTAAGGTGCTGCAGCGCGGCCAGACACAGCTGCTGCCTGCTCGGGGATAAATTCAGTCAGATGCTGTTTTTGTTTTTGAAAACTGCGACTGTTTGCTCTGCTTATCTTCATGCCAGCATCTGTGCAGTGTCAGGTTTTCATTCTGTTTTCTGTGCTTCACTTCATCCCTGACGTGTGAACCCAGAGGCGGGTAAGTCACGTAGAAGTAGAGGATCTTCTTAGGAGGGTCCCTGCCTGGTAGCGGGTAGAGTCCTGGTTCTGTAGCTCCAGCTGCCACTGGCTCCTGGAGGTGACATATTTACATGCTCCATATCTGCCTCTTATCACAACAGAATATGTTTGCATATTTATTTACTGACGAGGATGAGGAAGCAGCTTTAGGACTGAAGCGAAGCTTCTGGAGTATCCGGGCCTCAGTGAAGTACAGACTCAGAACACAAACTGGATTAGAGTACCAGTAATATAATGAATTTAGATCACAGCTTAGAGTCATTGCAGAATGGCACCTTTAAAGGGTCCCAAAGAGTTCTGGTCCTGCGTCTCAGTAGACTCAGAAACTCCCAAAGGACAGATGAAATGTGTGTTTTTATTTTAACAAAGGCTTTCTTTCATTCGTTTGTTATTTTCACTCACAGTTTACACCTGGCTGACTGGTGGACCATCCTGCATGTATAAAACCAGCACAATGTCCATTTAAAAGCTGTCAAACCAAACAGTAAATCTCTCTTCAGCACTCAGGTGTTACATACGTCACCACAGTGTGGAGGTCAGATTCACCGCGACCTGTTTAATGGTCATACTGGAAGTGATTTAACGATTTAGCCACCAGCAGCTAATAAAACAGTCAGCTGATGTGTGGAGCTGAACGGGTCGGAGACTCACGGTGGACGTTTTCACAGTGTGGGAAGATATGTGGATTGCACGTGTTGTCTGAAATAGCTCTCCATCCCTACGCAGCAAATGTCTGACCTGGACACGAAGATTCAGGAGAAAGCCAGGCGGGTGGACATGGACATCTGCAGGCGCATCGACATCACGGCCAAACTGTGCGATGTGGCTCAGCAACGCAACTCGGAGGACATGTCAAAGATGTTCAACGTCAGTCCCGTCAGGTCGCTCCCAGAGAAGGTGGGTGGAGCTCTCCCCCGGTCCTCCGACGGCCTGACAGTTACTGCAGCAGAATTATGAATTGTTTTGTGAAGGAAACACTCGGCACAAGTGAAACCAGAGCCGCCAGGCGCTCGCCGTGTGGTGACTTTGTTCTTTGAGCTTATGGCGCACTCGCTGACCCCTGTGGAGGTGCAGGCTGCATGGCTGCATGGCTGCATGTTCCTAAATACGCTCACTAACATATAAACACAGACATGCAGAACACCTGCTAGTGGATCCTACATATGCAGGCACACACACACACACACACACAGAAAAGTGAAACGCTGATGTGGCAACTCCTCGCTGCAAACAAGGTTATCACATTGCGCCGACATTGCTGGCTGAAGCCCAAGTAAGAGTCCTGTGAATCCAGCCGCGGCCTCTCTTATGTCACATGTGTTCCTGCTTCAGTGGAATCAGTCATTTTACACTGTTGGTGAGCAAACAGCTGCAGATCTGTTCATCACTTTATAGAGCAGGTGTGTGGACGCCTGCCACAGCTGGATCTGTTTTATCTGCACTGATTGTTGCTTTGTTTAAAAATCAGTCTATTAAATTGGTTAGACCTGGTTAAGAGCTGCAGTTTAGCTCCATAATACGTCCTGCATACGTTGGATCTGCTGCGTTTCTTATTCTGAGGTTTGTCTCGATCACATTCTCCATCTGTTACATCCACAGAAGTAAGCGTGTAGAAGAAAACACTCCGTGCTCACAGAACATGTCAGTAGTGCACATATAGCCGCCCTGAAGTCCTCCTCTGACTGTCTTCATGTCTCTGTGGGTTCAGCAGGGTGCCGTGGCCTGCTGCAGGAGGAAAGAGCGCAAAGTGGTGTCTGACGAGGAGAGCTCGGAGATGGACGCCGAGCCCAGCCCCACAGAGGAGGAGGTCCCCGGGTCGCTCAACATCACAGACGAGATGAAACGCATGCTCAACCAGCTGTAAGCGACTCCTTCATGACGCACAGACACCAGAATCACGCCTGTGCTGTGTGAATGAAGCTGAATGGCTCTGCAGCAGGCTCCTGATGCTGCTCTGTGTTCTGTCTCCCTCTGGTGTTCACATGAGGTGTTGCAGCTAGCAGACAGCATGCTCATTCAGCAGAACTCTCCAGATATGCAGGCATACGTTGTTTTTTTTCTCTAGCCTATTTTCGTATCTCTGTCACCTCGAGGCCTGTCGAAACACAACCGTCTGTGTCTGCACTCGTAACTGCGCTTGTTCTCCGTGAACAGCCTCCCATCCATCTTTTCCTCCTCTTTATAATCACGTCTTTCTCTTTGCATGTGACCTTTGCTGAGTGTCGTGGCTGTTATACTTGTCCTTGCTCTCCTTCCCCCTCTCTTTCCTCCTGTCCTTTCCGTTCTCTGTCCTTGTCCCACGCAGACATTGCTCAGATAACTCCTTTGTTGCCAGGCGCGAGACGTTTGAAATCGACGACGACTGCGACAGTCTGACTTGGGAGGAGAACGAGGAGACTCTGCTGCTGTGGGAGGACTTCACCAACTACAACTTGCCCTGCGCCATCGCTGCGGCTACCTGCACAAGCGCCTGCCCCTGCGACGGCACCGTGGTGGAAGCTGCTGATCCGGTGAGTCCAGTCTGCAGCAGGATGCTTTGGCAGCAAACGTCTTTCAAACTCATACCAGTCAGAGTGTGGATCATTGCTGTGGGTGCTGTGTAAGACGTCTACTCATGCATGATGAATGAGGCCTCTGTCTGTGCTCTCTAAGGACTCCCAGGATGGAAGTCTTGGCAGCCTCATTGATGAAACAGAGTCACTATTTAAGACCAGAGAGCAGGAGTACCAGGAGACCATCGGCCAGATTGAGGTAGACACATCTCTGTGGGGGTTTTCGTGTTTGAAAGAAGATAACCAGATTAAAGCCTGTAACTAACCCTAACCCTATGTAAGTCTAGGAAACATCACATCTGGCTGTTTTTTCAGCCACGCAAGGGCCACCAAAGTCGTCCACATTGAAATATTGCAGCAGTTTGATGGTTCGCCAGGAAAGTTTGTACATTTATGGTGCATGAAAGATGACTCATGAAGACTTTGGTCATCTGCTGATGTTTCAGCGTTTTCCTGGGAAATTTCCAACATCTCCTCGATGTGACGCAGATGTTCATGGTTCCCAGAGGACCAACAATAATGATACTAAGTCTATTCATGACTTTCTTCAAAGTCAGAAGTTCACATCCACTAAAATCCTTCAGACTATCTGGGAAAGCCCAGATGATGATGTCATGGCTTTGGAAGCTTTTGATTGGTTAATTGACAACATGTGAGTTACCTGGAGGCACACCTGTGGATGTATTTTAGGCACACCTCAAACACACTGCTTCCTTTGGTGACAACATGGAACATCTAAAGAAATGAGGAGACCTGTGGACCTCCACCAGTCTGGTACAAAATGAACAAGAAGTTGAAGGAAACAAAGTCTAATGAGTTTTTCCATGACTGTGTGTAAAACCAGTGACTGCCCTCATCAGATGTGGCTTTACTTTGTTTTGTATTGTTCATTAGCAAACATGCTAAGCTAACATGGTGAACATTAGTGATAGTTGCCAAGCATCTAGCCAGGTACAGTCTCACAGGTACCTTCTGTCCATCTTCACGGTGTTTAATCCGTCTTCGTTCTTTCAGATGGAACTGGCCACAGCTAAGAGCGACATGAACCGACACCTGCACGAGTACATGGAGATGTGCAGCATGAAGAGGGGCCTGGACGTGCAGATGGAAACCTGCCGGCGGATGATCAAAGGTGGCAGGAACTCTCCTTCTGTCAGCTCTGTGGCCAGCAGTGACTCAGGGAACACAGACGAGATCCAGGACGAGATCTTGGACAAGGACCCAGAGGCCGAAGTCTCTGTTAGTTGATGGCTGCAGTGCCGGGCTTCGTCCCAGCTCCTCCCGTCTACCCCTGGTCGTCACAGGGTTTACAACCCAACACAGAGGTGGACCACCTTCAATCTGGGCCTGTTTGACCCGTCAAAGTTCTGATGGTCGTGCTCACTGATCCAGACCCAGAACTGGTGCTTTTATACGGTTTCTGTTGTTTAGAAAATGGTGTCGGGGTGTCTTTGCTTCGAAAAGAGAAACGAACCCGAGCTGTGCTCTCGTCCTCGCTGGATCCTCGTCCAGAGCTTCACATCATTTTGGGGAAATAAAAAGAGAAATATTTTAAACGGGATGAGGAGAGTTTTCTACCCTATAAGATCCTTTTTTTCTAAAGGAATTGAATACAGTACATATTGTGCTCCTTGTCTGGTGAACCACAGACACACCAGAAACAGACCACGCCCATCTTTTAAATTTTTAATATTTATTTCAGATTGCAGGAGTCGGCTCCTCGTGATTGGATTTCGGTCTTGTTTTTGTATTGTTTAGTCCAGGTGGGGTATTAGCAATCCAAATTAAACGGTGGGGGGATGAAGTGTCTCCTGCTGAGGAGACAAAACAAGAGGAGACGGATGGTGTTGGAGATCTGGTGGTTTCTGAGGGAACTGGGCCGGGCTGCCAAAGCTGTCAGAGGATCGGAGCACAGCCTTTTGATGCATCAGTGCACTACTGAAGTTCTATGCAATCCAGCTGGCCTTACTTTGGACTGGCTTCCACCCTTCCTCATGTCTCCTAGAACCATTAGCCTTCTAAGCAAAGCAGGACTTTTCTATATATCAGTTTAAGAAACTCTGGTTCGGGTGTGAAATAAACTTTGTACGGGGCATTTGGGTTGTTTTTGTTTTCATGAGCATCCACAGTAAAAACTGGAACAGCGCCCCCTAGCATCTTCATTTATGGCAATAACCATGAGCCAGATAATGCTGCTGAAGCAACCAGTGCGTTACTTTACTGGGAAACATCCTCGTGTGCAGTTTAGTTGTGCACAGCAAGACACATCATCTAAAAATAAAGTTCTACAGAACCTGAATCAAACGTTATCGAAGCCAAACAGCCCTCCAACATTTCAAGCAAAACCAAAGGACTCATTTCAAAAGGTTCTGTTTCACATTAACCTTCACATGAGCTTATTTCTATTCGTTTTACTTTAAGGAGGTGATTTCTTTGTGCTGGTTCAGGACCAGTTCCTGCTGCAGGGACTCTGCTCCGGGCTGCACTTCAGGCTGTACATAGAGGGCTGTAGGCATGTCAGCGTATACCCCAGAGGCCTTTTCTTTCTTTATAATTGTGTCTTTGCGACAGATTGAGATGTCTCACGATGCCGCTGCTGTTCAGTGCTTCCACTGGATCAGAACCTGACGGACGCATGGGGACAGACGTGATCTTTTTATCACCTCTTTGTATTATAATGTATGGATCAAAGAGCAAAGTGCTGCTTCTGTCTGGAAGCTTTACAAGCAGAATGTCAAAACGCAGCCTTTCTGTAGTTTCAGCATGCTGGTGGGAGGACGGAGCTTTTTTTATATAACACTATATTTTGAACTAAATGCAGACTGCGCTACGTTTTTAATCCAACACTGTCTATCTAATCATTAACTGTATTTGTGGCAGAAAGTGTATTTTTCACTGTTTTTAATCATTCTGTGTTAACCAAAAAAACTGTGTCAACTGTGTTCTGGTCGCCATCGTCAGCTTTTTATTCATTTGGAGGATTGTTTTGGTGGTTTGTTGCAGATCACCGTAACACAGACTGATGTCAGAGGAAAAGCTTCACTCACAGAGAACATGTCAGACTTTATCTCTGCGTTGATATAAACCAGCCTGATAAGTGACAAAGAGCCATCCTGCTATCGGTACTGTACGCTAACATCAAACACTACTGACTGGTTGGAACCCAGGAACCCTCGCTGGTGTTTAAGGAAGAGCATCGCCTCAAAACCTGCAGTTACATCCAAACTACATGAGTGTCTGACTGTCCGTCTGACAGACTGCATCCAGATAAGCGTGAACGTGTTGGAGACAACACTGAACTGCATCAGCTGATACCTGAAGCGATAAAGAGCTGCTGTCGTCCCTCTTCAGGGTGGCGTCTGCTCAACTTTTCATTTTGATTTAAAATGATGAACTGAAGCAACTTGAAGGCTTCCGGCAACATTTCAGCCATAAATGTGTTCATGAGAACAACCTGAAGGGTGCAGACGCTCATTCTGCAGTATGCTGAAGCCTCTCAAGCTTCAGTGAGCGCCTCCCCGTCATGTATTAAATATCTTTATTAGACTGTATTTGTGATGCTCGTCATCAACGCGTCACAATAAACGGGTTAGAAATGTGAGAGCTGAGGCGATGCCCTTTGTTTGAACACCAGCGTAACACATAACCAACAACACAAACTGATTACATCAAACAGGAACGAGGGACAGTCTCAGAACCAATACTTTTGTCTTTGTGTTGATATGAAACCAGCCCGTTCAGTGACAAAGAGCCATCCTTTACTAGTACTGTAGCGACATCGTCAGACTTCATTTGTTCATTAAATGGCTGCACCATCCGGGAGCAGCAGGTCCAACAGCTAGCCATCCCACTAACCAGCCAACCAAAGCAGACGTGTACAGGAACGTGACAAAGATGTAACTCGAGCTTTGAGCCCTACTAACTCTGGACCTCCCAGTGTCTGACCCAGTGTCTGACCCAGTACTGTTTACCATTATCTCCTGTATGATCTCCAGTCCCATCACGTGAAGCAGGCTCCAGTTCTATCAGCTTCATGCTGTAGCATCCCTCCTTGTTGAATGTAGCTTGATGGGAGGAATCCTCTGAAGACCTTGAGTCCACCTGTAGCTAAACCAGGGATACATGGCGTGCTGTCACTGAGACGTGGTGTGTTCTGCTTTACCTGATCAACAGTCTGTGACCTACATGTATGCAGCTAGGTCCTGGTGGATGTGAATGTTTCGTACTGCAAAGGGTTTTATACGAGCGGTTTTTATCCGTGGGGCGCTGGGGTTATGTGGTTATGGCGTTACTGGTTTTACATGTTCACTGGCGTCATTCTTACTTTAATTTCCTGAACACGACGGGAGACCAGAGGCGCAGCAACACCAGTGGCCAGACGTGTTCTGCTGAACTGAGTTGGTCTTTGTGTTGGTTTTTCTGTTTTATTTAATTGCTTTTCTCTATTTAGGGTTTTGTTGATGAGATGTATTCATGTGGGTCAAGATTCAGTTTTAAAATTATGAATGTACTCAATCGATTCTGGGATAAAATGAAATAAAATGGTGGATTGGATCAAAATAAACGCCTTTGGCCTGTTTTTTAAAACATTCGCTTCCTTTGATAGTTTCCCTCTGATTTACCGAGTGGCTTCAGAGTGTGTGTGTGTGTGTACATATAGTGTGTGTGTGTGTGTGTGTGTGTGTGTACATGTAGAGAGTGTGTGTGTGTGTGCATATAGAGTGTGTGTGTGTGTACATGTAGAGTGTGTGTGTGTACACATAGAGTGTGTGTGTGTGTGTGTGTGTACATATAGAGTGTGTATGTGTGTATACATATAGTGTGTATGTGTGTACATATAGAGTGTGTGTGTGTGTGTGTACACGTAGAGTGTGTGTGTGTGTGTACACGTAGAGTGTGTGTGGTCTGATGTGAGCCACACACAGCTGCAGCTCTGATGTTAACAGATGCTTTTAAACATCTGCAGCTGAAACCAGGAGTTACGTCCACTTTGTGTAAAAAGACATGAAACCTTTTCTTTCTTACTGTCTGACATGAAGTCAGACTAAACGTTTCCTGTTTCAGCTCAGTCAGGATCACCGACTTTATTTAGAGAAACAACGGTTTTATGTCTTTTATGTGGATGTAAACTCCTGGTTACTCGTTTTTTATCTTTTCCAACATAATCTGTTGAATAAAGAAAACAGAGAAAAACACAGGATAAAACCACGAGGTCATCAATGGCCTTAAAATTTATTACACAATATCAGGGAAACATAAATGACAATAAAAAAAACACATGACACATAAAATGAAGTTTTTACTATGAAGATGAATTAAAAGATTTTGTCTGCAAACAAAAATCTACATCATGGAACAATCTACACGACATGTTAAAAAATAAGAGTTTCTCTGTCTGCAAACGTTTAAAACGGCTTTTTAAAACTACTGAAACAGAATGAGCAGTATTTATAAACCAACCCTCCTGAACACCAGCTGATCCCACAGCACTGAGGATGGATGAACATCATGTTCTGTCTGTCGGCGCCTTCCTCCCGTCTCATCCCGTCTCATCCCGTCTCATCCCTCCACCTCCAGAAACAGGACTCTTTTGGCCACGGGCTCCTCACCGTATTTCTCCTGCAGCTGCTGGCGGACAGCAGGATCAGCGGACAGCAAAAGCTTGTCGTCACAGCGAGTCCACAAAGGTCCAGAAACGGAGGAGGGATTCAGAAGCAGGTCCAGAGCAGCTGTGACGTCTCCACTGGTCTTCAGCAAGGCTTTAGTCACAGCAGCCAAGTCCTGGATGGAAAACAGAGAAACAGAGACATGAACGAGACAAAAGAACAGAACCAAGAACAAAAGAAACACAGCAGGACAATGAAGACCAGCAGCTGCTAGAGAAGAGCAGTACCACCCACCTGGTCGGTCCGGTTCATCAGCTCTCTGATGAGCTGCTTGTCCTCCTCTAACTGGACCTGAGTCAGAGAAAACGCAGCGTCTTTGTCCGCGGTCGGGTTGGACGCAGCAGCTGGACGGTCACCAACAACGGACTGAGAGTCTTCCTCCTGAGATTCACTGTCAAAGATGAACAGGTGGGCGTTGGACGCGGCGCCGACAGCCTCAGGAGCAGCAGCAGGCCCGGCGGCTGCAGGTCCAGGGCAGCCTGTCTCTGCTGCAGGGCTGGTACTGGACGCGTGAGCCTCCTGCACGTCCCCCTGGAGGCTGGGTCCAGGTCCAGGTCCAGCTTCGGACTGTGTGGAAGCAGGATCTGGTCCAGGTCCAGGTCCAGCTTCGGACTGTGTGGAAGCAGGATGTGCAGCTGGTTCTGAAGGTTCTGTGGATGTGGCTGCTGTCTCATCAGGGAGGTCTGGAGCTTCATCAGACTAGGAAACATCACAGAGCAGCCAGTCACACGTTTACCTGTGATAGTCCAGCCGTGACTGGATGATCCGACACCAAATTTAATTCAACTTTATTTATATAGCGCATATTTACAACAACAAGTCATCTCACAGCGTAATAAATATCCGTAAAAAACCTTTTATCAATGTAAAACCTTCTTCTATGTCGGATATCAAGGCTGTCGGATTGTCCAGACGGAGGTCCAGACACGAGGAGGGCTTGATGCTGGAAGGCTCGTTAGTTAATTATTGTTCATAGTTGTTATAATGAACTACGTGTGTGATGCTGTTCTGATTTATATGAAACTAAATACAAGACTCTACATCAGTCGCTCCATGACGGTGCACCACGTGGTCTGGGACTTCGTAATGATGTCTGGCTGCAACAGCATCGAAGCCATTAGTCTATAGTAGGGGTGTCCAGTCCTGGTCCTGGAGGGCCACAGTCCTGCATGTTCTAGATGTTCCCCTCGTCCAACACACCTGATTCAAATGATCAGGATGGCTATCAGGCTTCTACTAGATGATGAGCTGATCATTTGAATCAAGTGTGTTGGAAACACCTAAAACATGCAGGACTGTGGCCCTCCAGGACCAGGACTGGACACCCCTGTTCTAAGACCTTCAGAGCACCAAACCTTCCTGTGTTCCACACATGCAGAGCTGTTAACTAACCGTCTTAACTAGTTGGTCAGACTCCCTCACTGAGTGGGACCAGTGTCAGAACACTGAGCATCGCTGGTGTAACAGCTAACGGGTCGGTGTGCACGGGCCCGTCGGTTGACATCAAAGGTAGTAAATCTGTGGGATTGTTCAGTCAGACAATACGCCGTCATGTCGGAGTCAGAATCCAAGGCTGTCGCTATGTTCAGGCTGTTTTTATGGGTTCTGTTTGTTTGGCGCCCCGGTGGCTCAACCGGATCAGACGGCGATCCACAAACAGGAGCCCCGATGCAGCAGTCGTGGGACCAACCACGGCCATTCGCTGCAGGTCTTTCCCCATTCTTCTCCCCCTTTCCTGTCTCTCTCACTGCTCTGATAATAAAGGCAAACGCCCAAAGGACATAATTTATTTTTTTATATAAACCTGTCAGATAACAAGGTTTAGGTTAGTTAAGGGTCAGATTACCGAGTCACGACTGTAGCTGCTGTCGCACAGCAGCCAGTCAAGAACATCAAACTGAGTGTTCTGTTGTCACGGACGTTAAAGGACACCTTCCTGCTGTTAGAGGACTTGGATCATCGTGAATCTGTCAGATGTACCGACATCAGTGTCCTACCTCGCTCTCATCTTCAAACTCCTTTGTTGCCAGCTCCAGAATTCCCAGTTTCCTCTTCTCTTTCTTCTTCTCTTCTTTCTGAGGCACTGGGTTGAATTCATCTGAAAGCAGAGCAGAAGGTCAGCCTGACTGACAGAAGCCTTCACCGTGTTGGGGAAGCAGCTAACGCTCTACAGGCTGTTTGTGTTTCCCACACTAGCAGAACAGACCTGCTGCTGCTGCTCCAGAGGCTGCAGCCTCTCCGACCCGCTCCGGCTGACTCTCGGCCTCCACGCTCTGTCCTCTGGCTCTCTTAGGAGGCGGCTGGTCTGGAGTCGAGTCTGTCTGGAGAACAGACTTTACTGCTGACTTGGTTTTCTTCACGCGCTGTGGAGACGATGTGGGTCGCTCAGCAGGACTCGATGAGGACCTGAGCTTCTTTGCATAAGGCTGGGGGGATAACCAGGCCTCCAGCTCCAGCTGCCGGCGTGTGATTCGACGGGGTGGCTGGTCCAGCTGGGGAGAGGCCTTCTGCTTCTCCTTCAGCTTTTTTGAAGATGAAGCTTCGGGTGTGGACTCAGGCTGAGCTGGTTGAGACTCCTCTGACAGACTCTGCTTCTGTGGGGAGGCGGTTGTTTGAGGTCCATCTCCTTCTGGTTCTGTGGTGTCGGCTGCAATGACCTGGGAAACCGTCAGGAGGTCTGGACCAAGCCCCTCGGCCTGGGACGGGTCAGACGCTTCAGCTTCTCCAGTTTGTGCCTGTAAGCTTTCAGCTGGTTGTTCATCTGGCTGCTGATGCTGCTCCTCGTCCAGGACAGAGCTCAGCGTCTCAGCGTCTACCTTCTCTGCTCTGCTTTCAGCTGCTTCGGACCGGACTTCTATCTGTGGGGACAACAAACTGCTCAGCTGAATTATTCATTCATTCACGTACAAACATCATGTACTCACACCACCGACCAACACACCTCCATGCAGCATCTCCTGATAACACTGTACCTGTGTCAGGTCTGGATCTGCTGAATGTGTCTGAGGAGGAGGAACCACGACCTTCTCACAGGAACGTTTTCCAACATCTCCGTCTTGATTTTCTTCCACCTGAAGGCAGACAGATGAGACGACGCTTCATGTGTGCTACAGATGAGCAATTCCAAAGTAGTGCATCTGGCATTAAGGCTTTATGGTTGTAATGGTGCCTGAAACATCGGCGCCACCCAGTGGTAGCCTGGGACGTCTGAAGCTGTTAAAAGCTGTTCATCTCTTACAGGTGCTCTGGATGATCATCAGCTCCGTCAGATGTTTTCTGCTGAGTGTCAGTACAGTCTATAGATGGTGGTATCTTTGGTTTCCTCTCACTCTCCTTCTCACTTCTGTAAACTGTTCACTTTTCTTTTCCCTCCATCAGCTCCAGCAGTATTAACTCAGTAGTAAGCAAGCATTCAAAACAAATGAATGAAACAAAATAGAATGAATACATGAATAAATAAATAAAATTCAAAAAAAGAAGTTTGTGGAAACATCTGCTGCAGAGTTCTTCTGTCATCAGAACCAGGTCCTCCTCTACGCCCTGGTAGCTCCTACAGGCGTGTAGCAGCCTGCTGCCGTCGGCTCTGCTGTTTGATTCGTTCACTCACTGGTCAAGTCTTGAGCTCGCTTTTGTTGGACACAGCGGCTGCTTTGTTGGTCCACTGACAGTAAATAAAGCTCAACTCCAAATGAAACCCAGTGGAGATAAAGAGCTTCCTAACCGGCTCATGACACAACAGACTGCTGAGAGTTCATCTCTTATTCTAGCATTTCGCTCTCATCCCTCTGCAAACACAATGAATTAAAATGACTTAATTTGGACATTAAACAAAGCAGTGGGTGTGGAACCACGTAGATCTGGATTAAACCACGTTGTACTGAAACCTGCATCACTTGTGGACATTTTGAAGAGACACAGAAGAACACATGACACAGAACTGGTGATGCTGTCCCTGTAGTTACTCACCTCCGTCCTTTCCTCCGCTGCCTTGTTGTCTTCTTCTTTAGTTTCCAAGGCCACCGCCACCGGCTGTGTCTTAGCCAGGACTTTGTAGCGGTACTTCATCGACTGCCAGCTGTGGTTGGTCACATGCTGCTTCTCCATCTGCTGCCAGAGCCGGTTCCCTCCAGTCTCCGCCTTGTGACTGCTGACATATTTCAAAATGGCCGCATCATCTTCAGGGCTGTAGGCCAGCCTGCCTGATTACAGTGAACGTAGACACACATGTGGATTAACTACCGACCGCATTTAAACCAATTCCTCATTTGAACATAAAGACTGAGGTAATAAAAATGCAGTGGACTCATTCCACTTTGCCTGAGTGGGTTACTAATGTGAACACAGAATCAACATCAAACTTCAATGCGATGGCTGGTGTTTACATCTCACCTGCTGAGAGTCCAGGTGAGCTTTCCTTGCTCCTGTTGAGTCTAGCAGAGCTTCTCTGAACGACTCCAGGATTCAGCCTGTAGTCCTCTGAACTCAGCTGTTCGTTCTTCTCAATACAGTCATGAATGTACTGGGTGGACACGTACCTGGAGCACAAAGAAACGGACCGTAGTCTCGTATATACACAGGATCTGCTTCAGCATACTGAGCTACAACTAGAAACATATCACTAGAAAGACGACACAGCACTTCATAGAGTTAAAGCAGAAGAGACAGAACTGAAGGGTTTCAGGGTTTTTAATATTTCACTTGAGTCGATGACAGAGCGAATCATAAAGTCAGCTACAGGACATGACAAAGAATCCCACAAACTGTTCTTTGAAGGTCTAACTGCATCTTAGCCATGCAGGAAAAGGGTTCTGTTCAGAAGCAGTGAGACTGAGGTGAAACATGAAGCAACCACCAAGATCACAGGAAAACGTTACTGGTGTCCTCACACGAATAACTGAAACCAGGAGTTCACATCCACCATATAAAAAGACATAAAACCTTTTATTCTCACTGTCTGACATTAAATCAGAAAAAACGTTTCCAGTTTCAGCTCAGTCAGGATCACCAGCATTAGTTCTATCTGATAAACACCAGAACAATGAGAGAGAGAATGTCAGAAGTTTACATCCACTAAGATCCTTCAGACTATCTGGGAAAGCCCAGATGATGATGTCATGGCTTTGGAAGCTTCTGATTGGTTAACTGATGACATCTGAGTTACCTGGAGGCACACCTGTGGATGTATTTTACAGTATATGTAAACTTCTGGTTTCAACTGTAGATGAAAAGTGACAGGCTCAACTGTCCGAGTGTGTCTGCCTCTTTACGGTGAGCTCCAGAGCTTCCTGGGGTGTACATCGACTTCACCTCAATACATGAATGATAAACGGGTTGAGACGAATCTAACGCCACCAAACACAAGCCTTTAGTTGGTGCAGTTTTCTCATACTGACTGAATTAATCACATTCCTTTAACTGAAGCTAACAGCGTCCCAGTCCAGCCCTACCAGTGAGAAGAGGATTCAGGAATAGAGCTCCTCTCCTCGGGTTCGATCAGCAGGATCACTCCCGGCTGCTGGACGTTGCACAGAGTTCCTCCTCCGGCTGTGATGAGCGGCTGGAGCTGCCGTTTGACGGGACCCGGTCGCATGAAGAAGGACATGGGCTCGCCGTCCACCGTCATGAAGAGAACCGGGGAAAAGGCAGGTTGGACCACCTTCTGTTGTTTGGACGGCATGATGAGGAGATCTGACCTGGAGGAACAGATCCAGACACACAGGGTTTATATGAACAAGTTAAAAACACGTTATGAGGCACAAAGACTGAAGCAGCAGCACCTAAAGCTTACAGGACACAGCACTCCTGCCACTAATGACATGGCCTCAACAGTAAACACACAGTAAACTCCAGTCCGGACCGCGGCTCGCTGCATGCTAACCAACCCTGTATGTAAACAGCTGGTAAATCAGCTGACCAACAAATAAAACAATCAGCTGATTGAATAAATGAACAAACATCTGATGGTTCCACCTGCACACATTTTTACCTTTTATGAACTCTAGCCTTGTACTGTGGACTGCTGGTTGACCAGATATTGACTGCATTTCTCTATATTTTCCAACTTTTAATAGTCAAAGCAGATAATTACTGATAATTAATCCCTCAGCTGCTGATTTCTGATCTTAGAACCACCACCAGTAGAGCAGCCTGTTGCAGGAGGACGACAGTAAATCCTGATATTAGTTAAAACTGTTAAAACCATCATCCAGCAGACTTTTAAATGCTTCACCTGAGAGCAGCTCTAATAGTTAGCTTAGCACTTTAGCACAGTCGGTAACAGCTCAACCATCTGTAGCTGCTGTGGCGTGTTTTCAACATGTTTAATGTTTGGGCCTACAGCACCAGCATCCATATCCAGCACAGAACCGACGTAAGTGAGCAACTAGTGGCCAGAAGAAACTGAACACAACGTTTAGTCACATCTTCATCTTCTTCCTGAGCAGCTGACAGGCATCGACCAGTAACAGCACCGTTAGCTTTGTGTGGCTAGCACTGTTAGCTTAGCTTTAGCACATAACGGCAGCCTGAGGAGCGTCCTGCGGCCTGACTAGTCTGTAGATAATAAATAAAAGCTAAACTTAGGTTATAATCTGGGCCTGAAGCTCACCATGCAGCTTGTAGACTTCCTACATGCGCTTTCCCGCCCCGACAAAAACCAAAACAAAGCCTACTTCCGGGTCTTTTCTTCCTCGGCGAATCTCACCTGGTTACCGTCGCATCACCGCCCCCTGCTGGTCACAGCTGGACTGCATCGATGTGTGTGTTTTTAATGGCGTTAACTTGGTTTAGTGCTAATACTAGTAGTGAACAAGGTACTTCACTGAAGTGACAGTAGAAATACTAAACTGTAAAAATACTCCGTTACAAGTAAAAGCTCAACAAAAGCAAAGCGAAATAATAATAATAATAATAATAATAATAATAATAATAATAATAATAATAATAATAATAACAATAATAATAATAATGAATATGGATGGCTGGTTAGGGAGGGTCTAGTTAAAATCACTTTATATACTTCACTACCTCATCATTTATTTTCTAGTATTTATCTTCATCTGTAACTAAAGCTGTCAGATAAATGCAGTCCAGTAAAATGTGCATTGTTTCCTCTGACTGTGTCGGAGAGAGAACAGAAATAAAGTAAAATCCTACAAATACATCAGATTTATGCTGAAGAATATCACATAAGTGTACTGAATCTTTTAAAACTAGTGGATGCATTTAAATCTTTTTAATCAATTTATTAATGAAGGAAAACAAAGAAGTGAAAAAGAGAGAAAAGGTTTGCTTCAGAATAAAGTCCACACAGCAACATGTTGAAATGGTCAGGCTTTTTCTTGTTTGTCTGATTTAAAGAAAAAAAAAAAGATCATTTTGAAAGGCTAACATTTTCTTCACTGTTCTTCCAGATGCCCTCCACCTCGCTGTAAACTCGCCTTAACATGTCTGTGTGTTGTCAGTTATCTGCATTTTATTCTATCTGTTTATCTTTTATTCTGTCTGTCTTCAGAAGTGGTGAAGCCTCCTGAATGAGAGATTAAATGTCTTTAAAAACCAAAAAAAGTCTAAGTGCCGTCCACTGAAGCAACAAACTCACACAATATTAGTAAAGCTCCAGAAGCACCAAAAGACTTCACCAAAGGGGAGCAGTGAAGATAAAGGACGTTGTCTCATGTGGGCTGATCATGTTTACATGTTCCAGACACATGATGACCGGTAATATGTGCACAAATATTGTTTTCCACGTGATATAGATGATGACAGGGTCAGGACCACACAGTCAGAGGCCTGGTGGTGTTCACATGAACCCTGTCAGCTCTGAGAGGACACTACTGCTGACCGGTCCACTGTCCCCCTGAGACAGGTGCTGACAGGTAAGACGGATAGCTGCAGCTCTGACTTCAGCACCTCGTTATAAAACTGGCAGCGAGCAGTAAAAACACGTCTCATTATAGAATATAAAGCGAGCATGTCCAGCGGTGAGGGAACGTCATGTTTGGTTTGTGAAGAAGCTGAAGTCGAAGCACAAACCTGATGACATGCATGCACTGTTTCTGCAGCGCAGTCTGGAAAAGCCGACCACAGCTCTGACCACAGAAGTCTGCGTTTCCTCATATTCTTCCTCAATTCAAAAGTCATGTTACTTTTTAAAACTTTCCCCTCGTGTGGTTCAGACTGAAGATTAAAGAAGGAGCTTGGACGTGTTCTGATGAGCTGGCTAGAGAACCGAATGTGTTCTCTGATATAAGCATAAATCGATCCCGCATCCGTTCCTCTAACAAACAAACTGATTAAACCAAAAGCTGACATAACGTGGCGTTAAACATCCTGACGCTGGACAAAGTCGGGCACATGAGCAGAGGGAGACATGTAGATGATCTCCTTCTCCTTTAAGAGGATGTTTCTTGTGGATGTGTTTTATTTTATGTGTTTGTGTTTTATTTCCTTCGATGTGTCCTCATACTAAAACACAGGCATGTTAATGCTGAATTCATTTGGCTTCGATCCCATACAGACTACAGTTCTGCTGTAACACCTCAGTGGGATCAACATCACGTCTCATCAGCGTTCCTGACAGACTCTATGAAGCTAGCGTACAGCTTTAGCTTGACGTAGCCTTCATTCAGCAGAGCCAGGAGGCCATGGGAAGGAATTGGGCTGGCCTGTTTACTGTCGCCTCGCTGACCTCGCCTCCCTCACAGCTCTGACAGCTACATTATTGTTATTGGCTCTATTGTTCCTCTCCCTCTTCAGCTCAAGCAGCTGAAACAATACAGCAGCCTTCAGGCCCAGCAGCTCCTCCAGGCACTGAGTGTTTGTAGACAATCTGTAATAATTAACGAGATGAGAAGATATTCACTCCTTGGAGCTGATTGCTCTCCATCCTTGACCCGAACCAGTCGGCTCATTCCTGACTCATTATCACGCCGAGGGCTGATCTGCAGTGTTGATATCAGGGAAGCTTTTTTCCTCAGACTCAGCAGAGAGGATGTGTGGCCCGGTCACCGCAGCGTGACACAGCCCGGCTCGGTTCAGCTCCGGCTGAGGAAACTCCCCCGCTGTGAGGCTCACCAGTGGTTTCCAGTCAGCAGAGGGAGGTATCGCACCAGTTTCCTGAAGCCAGCGGCTGCCAGTCAAACAGGATCTCCAGTCATGTCCAGTCTGATCTGGTCAGCTGTCCTCAGTCCAAGGGCTTGTTTACAGAACCACCATCTAGAAACAGCTCCAACCATCCATCCACCATCTATACACCGCTCAGTCCTCACTGGGGTCACGGGGCAGCTTCAGCCAAGAGAAAGAAAATGAGTAAAACACACTCTTTATACAGAAACCTGCTTTAATGAGTCCTTTGGCTAATAAACACAAACCTCTTCTGAGACTCAGGACAAGTTTCTCAGAAGACGGATTTGGACTTGGTTCTGCCTTGTCCGTGACAGGCTGGGATCCTTCCTGTTGAAAACCATCCAGCTCCAGACTGAAGCGACCCTGTACCTCCGAACCACCGTGAGGCTTCAGACTTCTGACAGTGAAGTTATTGACGATGACCACAGAAACTGACAGAGAGGGAAACATGAAGCTCCGTCCTTTCCTCCAGCAGATCTGATCTCATGGCTAAATTTATTGGTTTGGGTAAGAATCATGATCCGCTCCAGAGAAACTAACGACTGACAGGCGTGTCAGAGACGAGCTGACATTTGAACAGTTCTTCTGGGAAAGACCAGCAGCAGAAGACCAGTTACCAGAGTGGGCGCTCTGTGAGGCGGCTCTAAACTTCAACGACAGAAAGGAAGCCACAAAAACAGGTGATGACCAGTAAGAGCAGAAACCTGGACAACGCTGTGATGATCAGTGCGATGTGGCGGCGTCCAAACCCACCGACCATCAGCTCTGAAGCTCCCTGATCCACAGACTGTAGCTCACCAGCACCAGAGACGTGCTGTCAGACTTCACCTCCAGGCTGCTGTCTTTACACTTGGATTTTAAAATGTTGAATAATGGTTCAGAACATGCTAGCTGGCATATTTGTACGTGACCAGTGTTAGTATCCGTCTCTGCTTGATCCGGATCGACACAGGACAGCGTGCTCATTAGCAATACCCCATCATGTGACAGAACAGCCTGAACCGGGTCAGATTTCCCCACATTGCACCAACTTTCCACCGGTGCAGATAAATGGTGTTGAACAGCCAGTTGAACCGAATGAATCACTTGGAAAAAATCCGCCTGACAAAGGTGATGAAAGCTGCCATTTAAGACCCGAGTCACTCTGTTTGAAAAATGTTTGTGGGTGGAAGCACGATGACGCTGCGAATCAGGAAAGAGTTTCTGCATCGTTGCAACAGAATCTTTTTCGTCAACGTCCCTGTGAGTCACTTCTTTGTACTTTATTCATTAAACACGCAGTAATTATGATGTAAACGAGCCCGATTCAGCTAAAAGGCTGGTTTCACCTGCACAGGCTGTTGTGACAGAAACAAACAGAAAACGCTGCCAAGACGATGTTAACACGCACTGAGGAGGATGGAAATGTTGTAAAAACCCTTATTAAACACACATAAAACCATCTGAACCTCTGAACACCAGACGTCACAATGAAGCACGAGAATCATACAAACAGCTGCTGAGAATTTATTATATCAGCACCAAATAAAGCTCCTGATTTCTGTGACTGATCGAGTCCAAAGCCACACTCAGAGGACGTATTTACTTTATTCTATATTACGTAATAAGAATAAAATGCTGGTCCACTGACATGATGAGAGGCTGATTCATAGAGATTTCCACATTTATAATGTTTACAGTAACGTTCAAATCATATAACCCAAATCTCTCTTTAAAGCTTGAAAAATGTGTAATTACTGTTAAAATGCTGCCTTAAAAATGAACCTGGTTGTGAAACACAGAATGACTGCACACATATCAAACCATGCATTTTACTGCCGTCACTCTGTCACTGTAGTAATGAGTTTACAACAGGAATCGGAGCTCTCTGCTGATAACTGGCTCCAGCCTGTGTTTCCCTCACAGGAACTCCAACAGCCTCAAACATAGATTCCTGAAGTGTTTTCTATGCAAACAGCAGATTAAACAAAACGGTGTCTTGAGAGCTATATTCATCCGACAGTGGCAGGTGTATCGCCTCACGGACAAGGACGCACACATATCAGGTATCACACAGGGTGGGAGTGAAATTCCTCCCTGGTGCTAAAACAAAAGGAGAAAAACAAAAGAGGAGCGAAGCTGCCGTTTCTGAAGGAGCTCAAACACAAACAAAACTTCCTCGTATTAATCATAAATGCTATCTTTGGACTTGGCCAAGTGTGGAGAGACAACGGCAAAAATATACTTTCTGAAAATTATTTGGCAGATTAGCTGAGGAATCTTGGCAGCGGCGGGTCAGCAGAGACCGGCCGCAACAAAGTGAGGATATGCTGACTCGACATAAAGAACACATTTAATTACCATCATCATCAAGCATCCAGAGGACCATCCGGCCCCGAGCCAGAAAGCCCCCTCCATCATCTGCCAACTCAAAGGCTTATTTTTAGGGGCCAAGCTTCTCCTTCACTCGGCTGCTTTCTCACGTCCTCCAGGCTATTCTCTCAGCACATGTGCCTGGCTTTCCCCCTTTCACAGCTCACTCACCCACAGAGCAGATCTGCTGGTTCCCACCGTCTAGAACCAGACACCAACAAGTGCTTTGAATTTGCTACATATATATATATAACCCTAACCCTATATATATATATATATATGCAAAATGCTTTTAAAATACAAAATGTAAGAGCGCTCAAAGCAGAAAACTGGCCTCTTCTCTGTGACTGTTTCACTGCTAGATATCATGATACTGGGACTGCAGGTGGATCAGTGGTTAGCACCGTGGCCTCACAGCTAGAAGGTCGGTGGTTGGCGTCCCGGTGAGGACACCCGGGATCTTCCTGCGTGGAGTCTCCATGTTCTCCCCGTGCAGTGTGGGTTCTCTCCGGGTTCTCCGGCTTCCTCCCACAGTCCAGAAACATGCTGAGGTTAATTGGTGATTGTAAATTGTCCGTAGGTGTGAATGTGAGTGTGCTTGGTTGTCTGTCTCTAAGTGTAGCCCTGTGATAGACTGGTTACCTGTCCAGGTGAACCTGCCTTCACCCTGAGTCAGCTGGGATAGGCTCCGCCCCCCATGACCCTAGTGAGGGTTAAGGTGTGGAGATGATGGATGGATGGTGATACTGAGTGGTTAATTTACTGATTAATGGCTTGTTTGATCTATAAACATAGTTCATCATTTAGATATTCCTTCTGTTGTCTTGTGTGTGAAATCTCTGTCCGGTAACAAACAGCTACGAGCTGATAAGTAATCAGCTGTAATTATAAACCATCATCCAACACAAATCCTTGCTGTGTCTCGTGTACTTTGCTTCGTCCCTCCTCTGCTCACACCCCAACACTGAAACCTCTGTTGACCCCGACGCTCTCTAACTTCTGAACACTTTGGTTCTGACATGCTGTAACATCTGATGCTGAGGGCTGAAGTGAGTGCAGCGCTGCAGGCTGACTACGACTATTTAACTTGTGTAAATCAATACTGCACCCAGAGCTGGTCGTTAGGGTGGTGTAACGAGTGTGTGTGTGAGGAAGGGCTCAGTCACGGTGGCATCACCCAGTTCCTGGTTTCTCCTCAGCTCTGGTGTTCATGTGGTTTTCTGGTCTTTAACTTTACTCTCTCTGCTTCTATAGTTTTATTTTCACGCCCTCAACAAACAGCTGAAAACTTTCTCAGCAACAAACACACAAACCAAGCTGAGCTGGGTCAGATGGCTGAGACCACAGCAGAGCTAAATGAGAGCCAGCATTCGGTGTGTCAGGCTGGTGAACGTTTCCACTGTTCAGAGTCCTACAAAGGTCCAAGAACAAACCCTCAAAAGCATCATTTTGATCTTAGTGATGATCCTGACTGATGCATTTTTAGTCTTTGTTGGAGGTAATAACGGACACAAACACATCTGATCGGTTGAAGCGATGAAAAGATTCTCGTTAATTATTCTAATTCCTGCTAATCATGAGCAGAGTGAGCGTGAGGGCAGCGACGGAGGAGCAGAATGAGGCCACGATCAGGTTTCACCGGTCTGGACAAACGCTCTGTCTTTCATCTGAGCTGAGGATGATGCATGTGAGCTACTGAAGGCAGGATTTAGTGTTAAACACAACTGACTGAAGCTCTTCTGCTCTAATGTTTGTATTGTTTACTGCTCTTATATTGTTGTATGTTTACTTATGTTTTGCTCGTTTTGTTGTACTTGTTATTTAAGAAAACAGACCTGAGCACAAATTTCATACCACAAATATGTGAATGTGAGCATGACTAATAAAAGTTCCTTGAATCCTTGAACAGGGCAGAAAACCAAACAAGTGTTTGGTTTCTCTGGGATGTCCCGTCATGACCCGACGCAGATGTTTGCTCAGGTTCCCCAGGAAGACAGAACAGCTTATGTGTGATTTAGAACTTCAGGCTTTTCAACTCCTGGTCCTCCAGACGTCTGATGTGAGTGTGGTTGGTGCATCAGAAGAAGCCCGATCAGTCATCAACCTGCAGATCAATCAGACGTCACTGAAGCGTGGCTGCTGTTCTGCCTGATGCCAGATCGTCCACTGAACCGCCATGTGTGGGATTTAACCCCAGTGGTGGATTTCACTGAGAACAAACCTGAACCCTGAGTGCTGTGAGCAAAACAACAAGTCATCGTGTTCTGCATGTTGGAGCTGCTGCTTGGCGCAGAGCCCGGCGCTGAGCGGCGTCTGCAGGTGAACCTGCGGCGTGCCGAGATGACCCGGCGGCGCAGTGGGTGAAAGTTGGATGTCCCGAGTCCGACTGTGACTCTGACCTTGTTGTTGCACGCGATCCCGGCTGTCTCTGTCCCAACGTTTAGGTTCTGTCTTTAAATCTATCTAAAACACAACGGAGCCAAACCGAAGTCGTTTCTAAAGAAGAAGATAAAAATCACACAAAAACAACAAGAACCTCTACAGAGCGAAACCACTTCCCCGCTCGCTGATCACATCCACAGACTTTGGTCTTCCGGCGCAGTTCAGCAGAGTTCAGATGTCGCAATCACTGCAGCAGGGTGTGTGTTGGTTAAGAGGCGCTGAGGACAGCTGATGTAATGACTGTAACACAGATTTCCAAGAGCTGGAGGGACTGGAACGCCTTCAAGGAACAGACGATGTGGAAATGGTTTGTGATGGTGTATGTGCAGGAACGAGTTCGACCCGAAGCAAGAGGCGGACATCGAGTAAAAAGTTAGAAAATATTTTATTTACAACAAATTTCTTCTTCTTTTCCCTCAACAGTGTCCAGTGGGTCTGCTCAGCACCTCCTCCCTGACGGATCAGACGGATCAGACCTGTCCACAGATACAATCATTTCATAGCAACAATCATCACTCAACCAGGTTTTCAGAATTTGAAATAAAGCTAAAGCCGAGCAGCCAACTGCTTCTGGCATCTTCAGCAAACACACACAAAAACAACAATACAAGTGAAAATATATCAAACAGGATGTCTTTAAAACGGCATTCGTTCCACAAAGAGAAGCTCGACAACAAATCTCAAAGGCACAGGAGGGCATTTACAGGTCAGTGGTGGTGAGCTTCTGCTGGCTCTGCACCTTCTCACAGTTTCTGCATGTGTCTAAAATATGTTACAGGCAATAATCGGATTTCTGTTTTTGGATAAAGCTGATTAAAGAAGAGATAGCACCTTCACCCTGTTTCAGTGTGTCAGCGCTCATGCCATCGTGCATGTCGCGGCGCTACTGAAGCAGCTACACGCTGCTGCCACGGCTGTAACGCCACGTATAGATAAGCTGCACATCAACAACACTCGCTGTGCCAGAATATTCACAGTAATACGTTTCTCCTGAAGGCACTGAAGCCGGCTGTGCTGAACGTTCTGTCAGTTAGTCAGACCTCCTCTGGGTCGCTGCGATAGGTGGTAGTTTCGTATTTAGGTTGGCAGCCGACTCAGAGCAGAACGTCCGGCTCAGCAGTGGCTGAATGACTGTGCACCACAACTTATTCACATGCAGGCTGTCTAGACAAGATCGAACACTCACATTCTCTACTTCTGATTTCCCTGATTTCTCTTTTCCTGTTCCTCCCCATCTCTTTCTCTATTTCAGTCAGCCAGCCCGTCTGGCCACGTCTTTTGTTTTCACCTCACAAGCAGCACAGAGCTTCATATCAACTCATGGTTTCAAAAAGAAAACCTTCATTTTCTCTGTCTTTTCTTTTTTCTTTGCTCTTCCTGCTCTCGTCCTCTGCTCCCCAAAGCCTTCTAATACAAGTCCTTCATGATCTCCTGCAGCAGCGGGTGTAAGCACATGTCCACCTCGGACTTCTTCAGCAGCTGGATGAATTGGACGTGGTCGGTGACGATCTGACGCAGGTCCGTCATCTTCTGCAGCAGCTTGGCAAACAGCTGCAGAGTGTCCGGGTGGTTGAGCTTCAGCTGCAGCTCCAGCGAGTGGAGCACCGTCTCCTGGAGCTGCTCGATGGGCTTCACGTTCAGCAGCCCTGGGCGGTCTGGACGGGAGACAGAGACACGCAGGACCAATCAGAAACAGAACCGACACACCTGGGCTGCAATAACACAGCACGAGGAGGTGATCTACATGTTTAGAACCTACATCAGAATGAAAGGTCAGATCAGGAAACGGCACCGAACTGAACCGTCGCTCGTGACCCGACTGATGGTTGAATCACAGCTATTTACAAAAGCTGCTTATCTGCATCTGGAGCCATAATCTGAGTCATTTAGGTTAATAATTCACTGGAGTGGCTAATTTTAGTCCTCATCATGCTTAAGTTCAGCTTTTTATCAAGCAGCTACACGCTAATCACCAATATGAGGCCAGCTCATTAAGATCTGTTCACTAGTCAGAGATAAAGTGGACGCTGCTTCCACCTGGACCATAAGTCATACGTTTTAGAGGAAAGAAGAGAAATACGGTGATTCCTTCACCTCTGCTCTCGTCTTCTCTGCTCCAGAGGGTCAAAGCTTCGTCACTTTGCTGTTATTGAACCTCATCAGACTCATAAGAGGCTGTTTATTGTCCCCTCGTGAACATGACTCACTGCCTTCCTCTCCACCATGCCCCATGGCTCTCCTGATAAATGGGTCAAGGCTGGCCGGAGATAGAGCGTCTAACGCTGAAGGCTGACAGTTAACAGCTTTCTTCAGTTTATACCGACGCTGATCTAAATAAAGCCTGAAGAGTTCAATAAACATATTAAACACGTAGAAATAAAAACCAGGCTGATCACAGATGTTATACTTAAAGATGTGATAGATGGTGATAATTCTTGAAGCAGGTGGAGCGCTTGCTGGAGATGTTGTGGAACATGTTTATCTGTGTTTAATCTGAAGCTGTAAGGAGACGTTCAGCTCCAGCGCTGAGGTCAATGACTTCGGTTTATAGACGAGCATGACCGTGTCGGTGTTAAAGATCACAGCAGCACCGGCTCTTTCCCCTACTTCCCGTCGTTATGCAAACTGTGGCTAGACCAGATGACATCAGAATGATGTCAATCTTCTCAACTAGGTTATCAATAAAAGTAAAAACAGATCCCTGTGATGGATGATCACCTCCACTGAGGATGATGACGGCCAGGAACAGCGCCATGTCGCTGTCGTCCAGCTCCAGCATGTTGAACTTGACAGAAAAGTCAAACTTTGGCTCCATCATCTGACCAAAAGGTTTCCTGAGACTCTTGAGGAACTCTCGCGTCATGAAAATCTGTCCGTAGGAGATCAGGGTCCCGTCTTTGTTCATCAGCGGCGCCATCATGATGATCAGGACCTCGATCACGCCGTACTTCAGCAGAGTGACCTGGAAGAAGGGCACAGACGTGAACAGGTCCTCAGCTGACCTCATCACACATGATGAATGGTTTGTTTGCTGCCCTGATCTGATGAAGACCTGGAATTACTGTCAGCTCTTTTCTTTTTCTCAGTAAATGTCAAGAAATGATGTAAAATAATCACCATCATGTCTCAGAGCCAAAGCTGACGTATTAAAAACGCTCGATGTCTGAAAAATGTGTCCAGAATCCAAATCTGTTCAGCTAGCTGTCACAGAGGCCTAAAGACCAGCAGACATCCACATGATGTAGCTAGAAACAGAGCTGAGAGTCAGAACGATGACGCCGGTAACTCACCTGGTCGTTGAGATCCAGGTTGATGAATCCTGGGATGCTCTTGGCAAACTCCGTCACTTCTCTCACCGCCTCCGCTGAGCGTGACTGACAGCTGTGGAAGAAGCGCAGCTCCACGGCGTTGGCCGGTTCCTGTCCGCTGAGGCTGGTCATCCCCAGAACGCCGTAGTCGGACCCTGAGTGGACCGCTGTGATCCCTGAAACCGCGTGAGAGGCGTGCTGGAGGTGGACTGTGAATAAAAAAGAGATGAAATATCGTTAATGCACACAGCAGACGTCCACTGAATGAAGACGTGAACATGAGATGGAAAAACAAGAAGAAGTAAAAAATAAGAAATAAACTAGTTTCTTTATGAGCGACTTTATCTGTTTGTCAGCTGCAGAGTAAAGCAGCTGAATAAACGCATTTCAGTGGTAATCATACAAACAGATAACGTGCATTAAAATGATGCTTGTTTATATCATTTCTGAAGCACATCAGTGCTGCTTTCGTCTCTTCTAGTTTTCTTAATCACAACCTTTCTCCGTGTTGTTTCAGGAGTTCACTTAGTAAATAACTGACTAACTAGCTAACTAATCTGCTGATAACCAGACACACGTGACAACAACACAGACCAGAGCTCAACACTTTGCAGCGATGCAGCTCCACCAACCTGCGTGTGCGTCCACGATGCTGGAGGTCTGCAGCTGGTGCTCCTGTAGAGGTATCTGCCTGCAGTTGATGAACTGCTCTCCTTCCACCAGAGACTTCATGTCATGGATGACAAAAGGCTGGAGGCGAGTGGAAAATGACAGGAGAAAGCAAAAGGAAAGAAAAAAGAAACGTTAGCTCCTCACAGGTCTCCTGAGGACATGCCAGCTCCAGATGTAATCACATTTACTGTCTGTGCTCTTTGGTCACGGCTCATTCATCAGCCTGCCAGAGTCAACATGGTATCTGTGCGCTGGCTGCAGGCCGGGGCAGACACAAGCACCAAACCGAGCTTAACTCAGTCAGCTTACTGCTCAGGGAAACACTGGCACGAGGCATGCACCGGCCTGAAGCATGAATGCTGCCATTCATAGACATAAATCTGCCTTCTTCACAGCCGTAACATAAACAATGGAAAGTCCTGCAGGGAGCTACAGCGGCCACACGTTATGAAGCCAACAATCGCTTCCCGTGTGAGAGAACCAAACAGCCAGCAGGTGGAATTCTGTGTGTTCTGGAGGTTTTGTACCTATTCTGCCTGTTTATATACGCCTTTGTCCACATACAGCATTTATACGTAGAGCAGAGGAAGAACCATTCTCCTGGACATGAAAGGTCCTATTCATGAGCACAGAAACACACCCCGACTTCATTCAAGACGCTCAGACCTGCTGCTGTACTCAGGCTGCTGTGATGCTTTGGTATCTGAGTGTGTTGTGCAGCACGTCAGCATTCAGCAGGAACAGCAGGGAGGGAAAATGGAAGAAGCTATGTGTGAAGATCACCACTGAAACACAAATCAGATGTTTAAGAACAGATGAAGCTCCAGACGTCCTCTGATCTGGGAGCAAGTCGGGTTTATTTTCCCCGTAGCGACTCACAGACAGTCTATCTGCTGCAGAGACACACTCCTCCCATCTACAGCCTCATTCTGCAAATAACTGCAACAACCCAGAATAATAACAGTGAATGAAGCTGGTTCTGCTCTGACAGGAGGTCCGGAGGAGTCGAACCCACCAGCCCACATCAAGGCCTCGCATGTCGGAGAGAATAAATATTCTACCAGATCCACAATCACTGACTGTAAACGTGCTGTAGGAGTAAATAACCTGGCACTCCCTCAAACAGCGCCAGGATCCGGAGCCGCCGGCCGCTATCGCCGTGACGCTCAGTCACAACAAGCGACGGAGAGACGAGCTGCAGCCTTGAACTGAGAGAAACACACCAACAGTTTAACACCAGCGTTCACATGCGGTGGCTTTGTCTGAAGGAACGACCTGCTGCTGGTGATCGACGTCCGACCGCTAGATTAGAGTTACTTAGAAGTTTAAGGGAAGAGATTTATTTGAATAACCTGAAACAGATGTTACAGTAAAAACTAAAACCACTGATAATATCTTCACGCTGACGGCTTTTATGCAGATTTTCTTCTCAAAAGCGAACCTTTCATCATCAGGCTTCCCCTCCTGTATCTGCTGCCTGGGTTTCAGCTGATTAGGTCTCTGTAGAATACTGAGGTTTAATATCTCCAAAGCACAAGAACACAGATTATATCTCACGCTCTGACTGTTTCTCAGCCAACACATCTCCTACATCCATCTGATAGGAACCTCCAGACGTCTCAGTCAATTCGTTTTTTGGTTCTGAGGAGGAATGCTGAAGCCATTACTGCTGAGGCCTCGTCGTCCTTTTTACCGCTTGACCACCGTAACCGGAGACGTTTTCTGACAGCCAGGACGCGCAGAAACCAGTCGGGCGACTATTCATGTCAGAGCAGCAATAAAAGCCTGAAAAGACCTCATCTGAACCAACCTGAGAGCGGCGGCAGGAAGACAATGCTGGCATGACGATGTTAACACGCCCACTGAGAGCTGAACCACCGACATCCGAGGCTTCAAACTCTGTCAGATAACAGAAATAATCCCGTCTTTCATGTGACGCTGGTATTGATTTGTGTGGTCGGACAGTGTTTCTGTGCCCTCCATGTGATCTGTCTGGTAGAACCACAGACTGCTGGTTTGTTCAGGATCATCCGACTGTTTCACCAGAAAAGCTTCCAAAGCGGGAGTCCTACAGAAACTTGCAGGTTTTTTGTTGTGCATATGATTAATAGTGGAAACAAAAATGACAAGAACAACTGGTCCAACAGCTCAGCTCAGACCAGAACGTACAGCAAATGTACAGCAGATGGTACGGCTGATGTGTTTCTGGAATCCACAGATAACGCAAGAAGAACGTTCTCAGCCAATCGCTCAGCAGTTGGATGCTTTACCTGCTGGGTTTGTCCAGTATTCAAACTAGAGTCTCTAAAACTCTCTCTGACTTTGAACAGTTGACTGACTGACTGACTAGATGTTCTGCATTAGCCTGCACATGTCTTCATCTCCTTCCATTAAAGAAAAGGAAAAACTCACAACAGTCCCTCAAATAACTAGAAACTGGAAAAAGTAATAA